CACTCTTTCAAAAGACTGGACCTTAATATTTTTGATCTTTCTATCCTTTTCATCATAAATTAAATCAGGCAATAAAAGCCATGCAGTTCCAATATTTTTGTTACTTTAACACCTTCTCTCTTTTTTTTAAAGGTACAGTTTTTAGAACAATCCTGGCAATATTTCAGTATGACTGTGCTTTCTTAATCCACTTACACCTATTAACTGTTGTTACTGAGGCATGCTTATAAATCATTACTGACCCCAGTCATTCCAGACACTGTCTTGTGTCCTTCTATTTCTTTCCTTCCTCTTACCCTTAACAAATGTTCAGCTGAAACAGTGTGGTCCTTCAACCACTTCTGAAACCTTCCTTTTTTTTGAAGACACTTTACAGGTAATTTCAGTGGTGCAGATGACCAGGCCTAAGTTGTGGCATCCAGCAATGCTTTCCTGGAAGGAAAATCCAGTGTGCAAGAGAGGAAGAGGTAATGGTAGGCCAACACCCAGACAGACAGTGTATTGGGTTTCTGAAAGGGCTTTTTTTTGGTAGTGGGGGAAGGACTATGGAGATAGCTCTATGTGAGAAGCTGCTAAAAGCTCCCCTTGCTCCTATTTGGGACCCACCTCTGCATTTAAGAGGAGCACAGCATATGGTCCACCCTCTTCTGTCCCCTGGCCCCAACTAGTGTGGCCACAGCGTGGGGAGAGGGGCCTTGGCCCAATCAGTCTGGTCTGGCCCCAGCTTAATCTCAGACTTCACTGCAGCTCCAACCCAAGAACCAGGAACTCTTCAAAAACCAGGAGAAGAAACCTGCAGTGGAGAGAGGGGTGAGATGCAAGAAGAACAACTGCACAAACACCAAAGTCAGTGAAGAAAGGAAGGGGAGGAGGTGGCCAGAGCAGAAGTTCCACTGCAGCCTGCGGTGAACAGGGCAGGTTGACCCAGCTGCAGCCCATGGACATTCAGCGGTGGAGCAGAGATCCACATGAGAAGGTGGCTGCACCCAAAGAGGCCATGACTCCATGGGGAGTGTGTGCTGGAGCAGTCTGTGGGAAGGACTGCACCGTGCAGAAGGGCAGCCTACACCACAGCAGTTCATGAGGAAACTGCAGCTGTGGGCAGACCCATGGAGAAATTGTGGAGGCTTGTCTCCTGTGAGAGGGACACCACGTGGAAGCAGAGGAAGAGTGTGAGTCCTCCTCCCTACTCCTGAAGAGGAAGGAGAAGCAGAAACCACATGGTATGAACTGACCACAGCCCCCATTCCTGTCTCCAGGAGCGATGGGCAGTGTAGTGCTTAGTTGCCCACTGGGCTCAAACCACAACAGCCATGGGAGCAGATGTGTCAGGCAGGTGGTAGCTCAGCATATGCTCTGCTGCCTAGAAACAGGCAAGGTCAGTCCCAAATTCTGATGATTCTCTTGATGTGGCAGAGCTGGTGACATAGAAAACATTTTCTTCCCAACTGTGTTTGTAAGCTTGATTCTGATTTTAAGTAGAGGCAGACTTTTGTCCTTGAGCTCAATTGCTACTTGACTTACTTCAGATTGCCTTCCTAAGTCTTCTTTCATTTCAAACACAACTGATTTATGGCTTTCCTTCATAAACGCTGCAGTGTTACAGGCACTGGATGGTCGTTGCCTTCCATCATGGGGACACACACATTTTATTGCCCTGCAGAGAATCCTGGTCTGTCCCACCTCAAAACATTTTTGGTCATTGCATACAAAACCATAGCTACATTTATTTTTCAACCCCCTTCCCTCCAGTTTAGAGTATCATCAACTGCAGATCATCTGGAATGCATTTTGCTATCTGCAAAAAAGGCATGCAATTTGCCATTTCTGTGGACCACCCAATGGAGCAGTGTGATTAAACCTCTTGTTTTCCCCCTTGCTGTTATACCTCAGTCCAAATGATACAGTAGGTAGGAAGAGGTTGCTGCCAGCTCAGGGTCTAGTGGCTTTTAATATCTGTGGCTGGATTATGCACTGCCAACAGAATGGTACAGGATTTCTAACAGGTTTCTCATATATTACACAGAGGCAAGCAAACTTGCTGTCAAGTTCTTTGCCATCTCAATTTTCTCCATTAGGAGAAATTTGTATTGAAATAAACAAACAATAAGGCTATTCACAGTTAGCATTGCTTCCCCCTTGCTCTACAGATGGTGAAGTGTATCTAAATGGCTTCTAATCTGATCTCAGCAAAGTGGTGATTAAAAGAAGGTGACTGGGATTATTTGTTTCAGCTTCTCTGGATGATGGATGGAGTGATACTCACTGTCACTTTGGTGCCATCTGGGAAGATGACACCAAATTCTACCATGACCCCAGAACAGAAAACAACATTTGCCTTTGTGATTTTATTATTTATTTGCTTGGGAATCCTCATGGTTCGTCGCTTCCAAGTTCTCCTTGGCCCTTACCAGAGTATGCCAGCCTCAACCTGCGCTGATGGACTTGGTGGACTACAGAAAGGCCGGTTTGACTATGCTCTTGCTTAGAGACTGAGAATTGTGGAGGGTTATTTAGCACTTTGCTAAAAAAGGAAAATCCTGGAATGTATCTTTATTTTGTTTCTGGTTTACATTTTTTCAACTATTGTAGGAGTTGAACCAGAAAAGCATGCACACAATTAATTTGATTTTAACTAAATACCGAAGGAAGTTATATTTCTGAAGGTAGATTTATGAATCTCCTTATTGAGAAAAAAGATAAAGGTTGCATTAGTAGAATTTTTCTTCAGAATGCATTGGAACAATATGTAATGTATTTGATCTTTTATAACCAGCTAAGAGACATTAGAGCACCTCTTATGTACCTTTTTATCATTAACAATAGTCTGAGAAGGAGAGTGTCTTTCAAATGAGGTAATAATGTGTAAATTAGCTTTTCAGGCTCCACAAGACTCTTCTTACTCTATCTCACATGCACAGAAGACGAGTGAAGAAGTTTTCAATACTGTAAGATAAGATTGAAAGAGCTAGAAAACTTCAGGAGAAAAAAAAATTCTCCATGTTTTCCCAGGTATTCAATAAGATGATCTTTCTTAGCATTAAGCAGTGATTCAGCTACTTAATACTACATATCACTGACTGTAATCTTTTTTGTGAATAAGATATGTAATTATTTTGGTTTAGCTTTATCTTTTTATGCCAAAACTGATTTATATTAAGACAGGTTTTTGCATTGTTCTTACAACAGCTGATGCAAACAGATTTCAGTCTTGCATGTATTTCAAACCCGGCATTTCCAGCATTCACTCAATATGTTTAATTGGTGTGTAGGCCACACTGCACTGTGTTTGTTTCCTAATTGGATGACTGAAACCCTGGGCTAAGAATCAATAAATAATCACCATCCTCTTCACCTATAAGTGGCTTTGAATGTATTTGTACAATGAAAGCCTATTCCTAGAAGTCAATGCAAACAGAAAACTATCTGCATGATTGATCAGGGCAAGAAAGATTTAAAAGATTGCATAAAATGTAGTAGAACTACTTAGAGTCCAAGTGGATGTTTGCAATCATTGTTTAGCAGCATTGAAATATTATAGTGGTAACAACATTTGATGTACTGCCAGGAGGGAAAAGGCCATGCTCCTGAACACGAAAGAGTCTTGAAAAAAGTCCTAGTGCTGCCAAGCTTCTTAAACATTTCATGGGAAGAGAAGATGCATACTGCAGGTTCTCAAGACAAAGCTTTAGATTTAGCTATTTTACTCATACTATAATAATGACAAGCAGTTGGGAAGCTTTTCTTTGTGCTTTGGCTTGCAGCCTGTAAGTCAAGAAACAAAGCCAGTCCCATAGCTGGTAAAGTTGGAGCTGTGCTGACTCATCTGAGCTTGGGCTCTGACTCTAAGCATGGCACTTAGAGCTATTTATTTCCCTTTGCCACCTATCCTGTCCATTGGTTAAAGGTTGCAGCTATTTGTAGCAGAGGCAGTGGAAGAAGGGGTGGCTCTGCATGCTGGCTATTGCAGTTCACTGGAGGGCAACCAGAATCCCAAACACAGCTCCCTGATGAGTTCACAGAGAGAAGCCTGGCTGTGATCTGTCAGTGCTGAAATACGAGCACAGCTTGTTGCAGGAGCTATAAACTTGGAGATGGAATGGGCAGAAGAGCACTGGAACACAACTGTGCTTTTCAAAAGCCATAAGGTACTGTCTTTAGCTACATATCTATCAGTGCCAGGGAACCTAGATCAAAGCAAACTCAAACTTTCAGATCAATTCCCAAAAGTAACAACAGTGTGGCATACAAGAGGTGTCAGATCAGTGCTGTCTAAAGCAACACGTTGTGAGTACGAAGTGGCAGTAACAGCATCTTACCCTCTGGTCTGGGATTTCTGTTTGTTTGAAGACTCTATACACTTTATTTACTTTTAAAAGAAAAAGACTTTTTCTCATAATCACACCTGAAGAGGAAGGTGATGACACTGGTCAAGGGAATGTAGCATAGTGTTCAAGTGAGTCAATTTGACTCTTGTGTGGAGTTTAGAAGTTGCTAACTGAGAACTATTTTGGAGACTTAGCCAGCCAGCATCTCTGGTATGTTTGGAAGCATTCCAAAGAGATATTTTTGTAAACCACTGGGATATGTCAGTCTATTAAGGGGAATTTAATACTGCTGGGCAGTCACTTTAAGGCAGCCTATCTATGGGTATTGCTAAATTGACTATAGCAAAGATAGAAAATTAGATTTTCTAAAGATCTAAAAGAAATCTTATTCCTTTCCACTCTCAAAATCTAACAGAAGTTTTATGAACAGATGCTGGTGATTCAGTTTCATGATAGCTCACTTTGCTTGGAGAAACCAGACAAAATTTTGAATGGAAAGAGTACTATTCCAGCCCACAAAGCAGCCTCTGGCACATTTCTATGCTTTACAAGTATATGTATGCACTGTGGAATGACCTGAAATATTAATAAGAATAGCAAGGGAGAGTCTGTGTGCTAATGCATCTGTGCTCAGGCAGCTCTGCATCACTCTGGTATAAGCTTTTCTTACTTATATAAATTTCTTTAGAAAATCCTGTTCAGTCTTTAAGAACTTTTTCAGAATTAACATTTCTTGATAAAATTTAAGCAAACATACTTTTATACACTATGGAGAAAGAAGGAATATGTGTAATTTTTTAATAAATAACACACATTAGTTTGTTCAATCCAATTACAAGATAGGAGCCTGTTTGCAGTGACATCTGGGGTGCATGCATGTAAGAACAGCCCCAATGCTGCTTCTCCACTGTAGTCAAAAGTCTGAGTTATCTTCATTAGTGATCCGGATGTTGGGATCAGGAGCTCCCTGATGAAGTTTGCTGGTGACATCAAAATGTGTGGGGTAGTTGACACTCCAGAAGGGAGAGCCACCCTCCAGGAAGACCTGGACAGACTGGACGAGTGGGCTAGCGGGAACAGCCTATGAAGTACAACTCAGACAAATGTAAAGTCTTGCATCTGGGAATACATAATCCAAGAATGCAGCTGAGACTGGGTTCCACCTGGCCAGAGAGTAGCCCTGTGGAAAGGGACGTGGGGGTCTTGGTGGATGGCAAGCTCAGCATAAGCAAACAGTGTGCTGCAGCTGTAAAGAAAGCCAATGGGATGCTGGGTTGCATTAAAAAGGGCATCGCCAGCAGAGACAAAGAAGTCACCATCCCTCTCTACTCAGCTCTAGTCAGACTACATTGTGAGTACTGCGTCCAATTTTGGTCCCTGCTATACAAAAAAGATGTGGACAGGTTGGAAAAGGTCCAGAGAAGGGTGACAGGGATGATCAGAGGCCTGGAAGACCTGCTGTATGGAGAATGGCTGAGATAACTGGGCCTGTTCAGCCTTGGGAAGAGAAGGCTTAGGAGGGACCTTATTACCATGTACCAGTATGTAAAGGGTGGCTACCAAGAAGATGGAGACTCCCTTTTCACAGGGAGTCACATGGACAAGATGAGGGATAATGGACACGAGTTGCCTCTGAAGAGATTCTGATTGAACTCCAGAGGAAACTTTTTTACCATGAGATCTATCAGACATTGGAACAATCTCCCAGGGGAAGTGGTAAATCCTCCTACATTGGTCCGTTTTAAGAGTCAGTTTGACAGGGTGCTGACTCATCTCATTTAAACTAGACTTTTACCTCGAGAGGTTGGACTAGATGGTCCTTGTGGTCCCTTCCAACCCGGTATTCTATGATTCTATGCAACTTGTGCAGACATGAACTATGTCTGAAGGAGCTCAGATGTCAGGAATCAGACAGCCACAGAAATCCACAGCACTGTGTACTAAGCAAGAGCCGTATAGGGGTTACTGCTGGATATGTACCTATGTGTTAGACCTGCGTTGTCTGCCATTGCCATGCAACTAGAAGGTGAAGTTCAAATACAGCAGTACAGCCGTGCTACCTGGGAGAGAAAAAGAACCCACCAACCAACTGATGCAGTTAGCAGCAGGGCAAAATTCTCCTTCATCTGAGATGGGGTTTATAGAATTGAATGGACTTTGTGTAAATAAGAGGAAATATTAATACAAATTTGTCTTATTTTTACTTTTTGTTTGGCCTGCTATGAACTCTGAGCAAATGTTTAATGCTTGATTTTGACAAAGCAGCCTTGTGAAGCATAGCTTAGTCAGGTTTTACCACAAGTGACTGCAGAAAAAGGTCTGGAGGTACCTGATGTGTGGTTACATGGCCCTGTGAGCCTAATGGGATCAGTACACAGAGGCTCTGCATGTTTGTAACTCTACACAGAGATACCAGAGCTACACACATATGGGATGTGGTCTCACAGGACACTTTCAAGAAGTCTACCTTAGGACTTGCAACCTCTGTTATGATCTGTAGACTATTTCATAGGAACTTGTACTCAGGTTGGTGCAAAGATCGACAAACTGCAGGTGAGAAGCTAAATGTGATGTGTAGCATGTAAATTTGATGTGTAGCATGACAGAATCTGTGGCCATGACCTGAATTTTCTCCATCACAAATTCTCTTTTTATTTTCATCCTAGTTTATTGAAATATGCTAGACTGTAAAATGTGACGAGTGTCTGTTCATGCTGATGTAGTTCGCATGAAAACATAGCGATTGCTTTCCTACATTTCATATCCTGTTTTCATTGCTTCTGGAATTCTGCAGCAAAGTTTTGGACTTTAGTACATCTATTTGGTGTTATTTCTGCAGGACTAATATGTGAGGCTGCGATGGCTCCCGTTCTTTTGTCAGCATCATTGTAAAAGCAGCTGACACTATAGCAATTTTTCTTTTCTCCCTTTTGGCACACTAACTAACCAATCACCATCATGACCTTAGACAGCTGCATTGTTATCCTCATGGTCTAGAAGGAGCAACAAGAAGTGAAAGGTCTTTTTCAAGGCAGAGACAAGGAAGACTTATTATCAGTGCTAAGGCAGGATCTGTGAAGCATAAGCTTCAGTCCCATGTGAATTCACTGTGTGGTAATGAACACGTTGGTGGAAAAGGCATCTTTTACTTCTGATATTGC